AAAATCCCAAGATTTTTTTCATTAGTCCCCAGGTCCCCTCATCAGGCGAAGTGTTCAGCCATGCGCGTTAACCGAAGCCTGGCGAAATACTTGGTCTTGTATAAACGATAGGAAGAAACCTTCTCACTGATCTCAGCACTTAACTGCTGTATACTCTGTATGGTATTAAAATATTTAGTGAATAACGTTATACCGAGCAGGCAGATTAATCAGTATTACAACTATCATTATTAAAACATTATCTTGTCTCTATTCTAAAAATCCCAAGAAAAATCCCAAGGTCTTAAAAAAAAAAATCCCAAAAAAATCCCAACAGCCTTAAAAAATCCCAAGATCTTGGGATAAAATCCCAAGGTTGGCAACACTGGAGGTGAGGTGAAGGTGAAGGTGAAGGTGGAGGTGAGGTGAGGTGAGGTGAGGTGAGGTGAGGTTAGGTGAGGTGAGGTGAGGTTAGGTGAGGTGAGGTGAGGTGAGGTGAGGTGAGGTGAAGTGAGGTGAGGTGAGGTGAGGTGAGATGAGGTGAGGTGAGGTGAGGTGAGGTGAGGTGAGGTGAGGTGAGGTGAGGTGAGGTGAGGTGAGGTGAGGTGAGGTGAGGTGAGGTGAGGTGAGGTGAGGTGAGGTGAGGTGAGGTGAGGTGAGGTGAGGTGAGGTGAGGTGAGGTGAGGTGAGGTGGGTGAGGTGAGGTGAGGTGAGGTGAGGTGAGATAAGGTGAGGTGAGGTGAGGTGAGGTGGGGAAGTGAAGTGAGCTAGGTGAGGTGAAGGTGAGGTGAAGCTTAGGTGAAAATGAGGTGAGGTGAAAAGAGAAGAGAAGAGAAGAGGAGATTGCAAATTGAAGATTCAAATTGTTTGGTTTGTGGAGATGGCGATATTTTCTGCGGCTGACAGACGGCGTCGCAGAGCAACGTACGAATCGGGTGTAAACAACATGGTTCGAAGTAAGTTTGTTTTTAATTTTTTTGGTTCTTTTGTTAAATTTCTTTATTATATGCAGTTTAATGTGTTGATTTAGTTACTGAAGATCTCGTTCGTAAAAGGCAGAGCATAACAATTGTGAGTTATCGACGCTTGAGGAAGTATCCTTGCATCAGTTGGATATCGAGAGGTGAGAATTAAAGATTTCTGATTTGTTGATGGTTTGAAAGTCAAGAAGAAGGGAGTTGAAAAACGATCAATGATATAATGTTGTTATGTAGAATTGAAATTCTAGATAAAGTTTGTCGTGAATTGAAGATTCTCTATCTGCAAAGCAACCTAATTCCTAAGATTGGTAGGTAAATCTTTAAATTCAGCACCATGTAATCTGTACATTAATTCTGTTATTGTGACCAGAGCATAATGCACTTTCCTTTCCCCAACCTTCGAGAGGCACTGCTTGTCATCATCCTCTATGATTTCAGAAAATGTTGGTAGATTGAAGAAACTAGAGTGTCTCAATTTATATAGCCTTGAATAACATTGAAAAGGTTGAGAACTTACAAGGTATGTATATTCTTAGTCTAATATACACCACAATCATAATACCATATAAATTAAGTACCATACATTCTGTTTGCAGTTTACCAAACTGCATCCTGTTATCATCCTGTTCTATGCAATATGTATCAATTATCTCAGCAAATGTCTCTAATTATTCAGGATGTGAATCGCTGCAGAAGTTAGACTTGACTGTCAATTTTGTTGGAGAATTGACCAGCATCGAGAGTTTAAGGGTTAATTACCGCCTGCAAGAATTGTACGTCATCGCAGTTTTGCTGTAATACACTTCCTTCACATTGATACCAATGACCTAGCTAACATTTTTGTTGTGATAATGCAATTTATGCTCCCCTAGGTTTCTGACTGGCAATCCTTGCACACAATTCACCAGTTATAGAGAATATGTGATAACAACATTGCCTCATTTGAAAGTAGGTCTTGCACGATGTGGTTGACCCGATTTAGAAAACAGATATATTGGATTTCAATATAATTTGTGAGGAACTTTTTTCTGTTCACATCTTTCAGACTTTGGATGGAAGAGAAATTGAAAAATCTGAAAGGATTTTGGCAAAACAAGTATGTGTAGTGCTTTTGAAAATTTGCTCACCTTCAATTCATCTAATAGCTGAATCATTTTAGGATTATGACAACATTGTTAGATTGATTGTTGATCAAGACAATGATTACAAAAAGGAAATTGTAAGTGTGTGATCTAATGCCACTGGATTCAAATTTGAAATTCCGATCACAAGACAAACTGTAACAGTTTGTCTATATTTCCAAGGAGAGTAAAAGAAATCAACGAGGAGATGAAGAAAGAGACCATTTGTCAAAGTATTTCTTTGCTATTTCTGCCAGATGCATCATCACCTGTGACCTGCCCTTATATAATCATGGTTGTTAAAAGAGCCTAAATTTTTGTACATGGTGTTTTGAAGGGATAAAAGCAGTGAACATGAAAAGGAGACACAAGATGATGCAAGGTAATATTATTGATAATTCTGCAGCAAAAAATTGCATGTTTAGGATACATTAAAGTGGGCTGATTAACAGTATGTGAGAGGCATTATAATACATGCTCTCATCCCAGTTTCTGGCAAGAAGAAGTTGAATACACACCAGAGTCAAGGGTTGAAATTCATAAGCATATGGAAGAAAAACGAAAAAACAAAGAACAGATTGATAAAAGGTAGGAAGAACTCGGAAGAAAATGTGATGGTGGTCATAGGAGATGTCACGATTCATAATTTTAATCTTCATTATTCCTGTTTTTCAGTGCAGAAAAAGCACCAAAAGAAGTGAGATTTTTCGCTAAAGACGGCAGACCTTTGAATATAAACCAGGGGAAGTAAGTCGAAAGATTTTCCAGCTGTTGGCTGATATGCGTCTTGTCTTTAATTCAGCGTGAACTCGTAAGTGTTACTCAGATACAGTCAACCCTTTTATTTTCTAGACTCGACTTTAATTTCACTGATGACGAGGAAAACAATGTGTTTCTTTTTGACCTCGCCTGTCCAAGGTAGGCGGGCTAAACAAGCTAGAGTTTGCCAGAATAATCGAACAGATATAACATCCTTTTTTTCTTTTATAGGTATCTGGATACCTCCTTAATCAATGTTGATGTACAAACGAACTACGTTCGAGTAACAGTTAAGGGAAAGGTAAAATGAACACTCTCTCAACAAAAGACTCCATCTTAGCAACAAAAGACTGCTTTTCCGCATATATTTATCTTCGTTTCATCTTTGTTTAGATAATGCAGCTAGCGTTACCAGAAGAGATCAAACCTGACTCAAGCACAGCTAAGCGTTCACAGGTTACAGGGAATCTTCTCTTGACTATGCCGAAGGTAAAATGAAAGACCATGCCTGCACAGTTCTCGTTTTTGCTATAACTCGTTTAGAATGATCTTAGGTTAAATTCATTCATTAATTAAAAGGAATTATTCGACCAAAACAAGAGAGGAAAGCCGTGCCCAAAGAAAGTCTGAATGAAGGCAAAATAAACGGCAAATATATGACAGGGTAAGCTCAGAGACTATGGAGTTAAATAAAATTACGAATGACTTGAAATAGCGCGGTTTACTAAATCAATCCATAGCACATATTGACGGATATAATTTATGATTCTCGATATGCTTCCACAGAAAACAGCAGGAGAAACTAGAAGTTGATCCAAGCGTAAGAAAGGATGTCGACTTTGGTAACATCGTTTGCGATAAAAGCAAGGATTTGGAAAAGATTAAGTACTCTTCAGGACGGAAATGTGCTGATGAAGAAGTGGAAGATGAGGAATTTGTTGACGACCCAGACGTTCCTCCGCTTATTTAGGATCGACACCATGCGAAGCGTTAGACCAAATATTGCTGTGAGAAATATCCCCTAAGTCCCTGTTTTCATGTCCCTGAGGTTCCCTCGTTATCCACACGGACAGAAAGGGAAACGGATCAGAACAAAGAAACTTTGACACAACCCTAACTTGTCAACTCAGGCATGCAGATAGACGTGACATAATATTTTGATATTGTCGCTGTACGCTGTTCTGTTGTTGTTGTTCCATACTCTTCCACCATTTCCATATGTTTGTGAAATACAAAAATTCAACATTTCGAACCAGTAGATGTAAACCTTGTCTTGATTTCATTTAACAACTGACTACACTGGCTTTCCTGATGAAGACCCTGCTCGAAACATCTTAACTACTTTATAGGTATACAGCATTTGATGTGAAACAACATAGTTAGCAAATGTCACATTTCTCGATAATAGGTTTTCATTTTTTTAACCTCCCCCTGGAAACATGAACCTGTCAGATATTTCCCTTTAGGACATCTCCTCTCCTCCAGGGGGGGATAAAAACTCAGCTCTCCACTGTGACCCCCGCGGAATATTTTTGCCTATTGCCTCAGTGAGGGTAGCCCAGGACATATAGATTAGGAGTATCTCGTCATCCGATGTGTTTTAAATCGAGATTCATCCTGATTCTCATTCAATCCAAATTCTCAGTACAGTTTATCATGCAAACAGTTTTATGCAAACAACGTTTCCACGCAATATTTCTGTTGTCTCCAAGAAGTGGGCCAACACTATTGAAAGACATTGGCATTCGGGGTAAAATGATGTACATGTCCGCAGTCTGTGTTTATGGACGTTTCAAGTATGCAAGCACTTGATTTACTCGAAATAACGTTGAAAAACAACCAGTTTCCACATCAAAAAAGCGTCTGGGAACACTAAATCTGACAAGAAACATTCTCTCTAACGGGAACAAATTTGTTTGGCAAACAGAGTTTCATTTCAGGAAACATCGTAAAGACAAATGTTTCCGGCGACAATATTCGTGGTTTGCCCATGGCAAAAACGTTTCTAGCCTACGGCCAAGTGCCAACTGTGTTTTTGACTGGCGACGGTCCTAATACAAGCTCAATTCATGCAGTTTGTATTATTACCCACCCGTTTCACCTGTTCTAAAACGCTATCTAAGGTTAATTCTAAAATTTAGAAATGCGCTGTAAAGCGTCACCAAATTATATTCTGTGCATGCTGGGCTAGGGATGATTGAGGTTTGATATATTCAAAATGGCTGATCGTCGAAGAACGTACGAAGTGATAAGCGAAGCGCAGAGGAAGATTCTTTGTGACTTCTTCGATAAAGGCATGAATTCAACAGCTAGTAACATGCAGAGAACTATAGTGGAGGCTTCTGATAAAGCTAACGTAACTGTAGAACGAGTGAAGGTATTTATTTTTGTCTTTGAAGTTTAGATGGCGTGTTAATTTGCATATTGACGCAAGTTTTGAAATAAACGCGTTATGAATATTGTATATCTGTAAATACGCACTAACTACACTTGCTATTGTTAGCTACACCTATAGCTCTGTGGCATGAGCATTGTACATTTGCACGGGCATCGCAATTCGCAAAAACGTAGGTTCGATAACTTCGATTCATTCTAAAGACCAATTCATCATTCATTCTTGTTTATGACTCCACTCGAAATTAAAACCCTTAGAACCATAATTCTTTTTGAAAAACATTACTGTAATCGTTTGTAGAAATGGATTGGAAACGAAAGGCAGAAACGAAAAGCCTCATCTGCTATTGGGACAGATTTACCTGGTGAGACCTCTGGCTTGGCAACAAGAAAGTGTCCTGTAAAGCGTGGGACCACAGCATACAACCTTTTTTGCTCGAGCATGCTTACCTCAGGTTAGGTTCATAATAATCTCTCATTTAATAAGCCCCCTTTCAAATAAGCCAAATTGTACTATGTTCTCTGATCAAATTTATAATGGAATTATGAAAACTTATTGAACTTATCAATCCCATCTATTTCAGGGCCTTTTTGGCTTGTGCTGAGGGGGATTTATAGAGGGGACCTTGTATCATAAAGCATGAATGAAGAATAGAGCATGTCTCAATTGTGTTGGTGTGTAAGGACAATGGACTAAATTGCAGTATCTTATATGGTGCTACAAATATTTTATATGAATGGTGCTATAGTATATATGTTTTATAATTTGCAGATGAATGTAAACAGCTTACAAACTCTGAAAAATTAAAACTCACTGTTAGTACATGGAACTCACTCACCTCTGAGGAACGAAGTAAGTGGATTGAAAAAGCAAAAGAGCTACAAAAGGTTGTTGTCAGTGAATTATCTGAAAAGGAGTGTAATCAGAGAATCAAAAAAGCGAGAAAACAACTTATCTCCCAGGTAATACACCTATACTATTGTTTGTGAAGATGACAATGTGTTGAGACCTAGTCTTCCAAAGCTCCAAGCATGAATATTTTAAAATTGTTAATTTGGTTTATGAAATTGAATTGGCATTGTTATTGTCCACTTAATAATTGTTCTTGTCATAGAATATGAACTTGATGGAGGTTAGGTGTAATCATGTATTTTACAGCATAAAATGTTCACATAATTTTTAAGTTGAATATAAGAAGGTGCATGCATGGACCAAGGTTTTTTTATAGCATATATTTAAAACACACCTAAATATATGCTACAAATATATTGTTGCTCTGTGGCAAATATTTTAGTGATAGCTGGCTTTGTAGAGCATGCGCATGCCTCTCTTCTCCGCAGAGGTTGCTAGCCCTTCTATAGACTCTTGAAATTAAAAATGTTATCTTTGTATGAAACACAACAGTTTCTATTGTATGTCTTCTAAAGAGTGTAGGTTACTGTTTCAAACCTAATATTTCAGGTATATGGGTCTAAATTTACAGGTATCCAATCATCCCTTTGATTTCTGGAAAGCTAACCTTTATTAAGTTAGCTGTATATGCAAGCCCAAAATTTAATTTAACCTTAATTAGTAAAATGTGCATGTGACTCTCTTTTTTAAATTGAATTGGTATATATTCATACATGTGTGTGTGTAAATTTGTACTGGCTTATAATTTTTGGCCAAACACCACATGGTCTTTGTGTATCTTTATATGTTTTGTACATTCATTTGTTTCTTCAGCTTGCATATATGGAAACTCTTGGCTGCGAAGCATCAGTCCTGCTCATGGATCCTAGCGATTCATGCAAGCTTAAACAATATGGGACAGAGAAAGGAATGAGATTTTTGGAAGATAACCAAACCATTGCTTTGAAATTTGGGGAGTATGTTGGTAAGTCTTCATGCAATCTTAAATTAAGTTATGTACCTACAGGTGTTACTTTGAATATTTAGTGGTCGGTATTAATATCAATTTCAATATTAATATTTGGTTGTAAATTATGAATAATAAGGTGTTTTTTAGCAAATAAAACTTCTGATCAATTAACTAATTGTCAAAAACTGTACTAATACTTTTGTTATTCTTTTCTTTAGACACTTCACACAGAGTTAATTTCAAAGTTGATGATGTTGCAAAACTCTTCAACAAAAAATACAGTAAGCATTTTTTAGTATCTCAAACCTCTTTTAATGCTCGTTGATTGGTTGAAACTTGATGCAATAATTAGTGGAGCGGTACATATTCACATATTCGTTCTGACCGACGGAATTTTTTTGTACCTTCATTTGTTTTCGAAATAAAACCGCCAGGTACAGTAGAACAGATATATGAATATTCGTCCCAATTATCGCGCTGCTTTCGTTCACGTTTATGGCCCGGCATCTTGTTCGTTGTTGTTTGAATGTGGGTTTGCAATAGTTTGTACTTTTCAAACCCACATTCACACCTGCAAAGATAGAACCAGGATATTTCTTTTAATAGATATCGCTTGCTTTTACGCTTATTTGAACGCGCTTTTCTTTATATTACGGCCAGACCGGTCCTATTGAATTTCTATACTGAGCGGATATTTCTAGTATTTCAAGAACTCTGCGTTTACGTGTATCGTTACGTTTAAGTGTATCGTCATGTTCATCTGCCTAGCGCGCAAATTGTTGTTTTACTGTTATATTCATAAGGAAACACTCTATTTCAATTCAAAATTTGACCGGTCTGACATTTTCGCCACTTAAAGGAAAGCCCCTTATGAATATATACATTATCGGATAGTGATTATCCTAATGCACAATGCTCGTGCTTTTTGAGTAATGTAAACTTTTTTTTTGGAAATTCCCAGGTGAAGCATGTGGAAAAGCGTCCTCTCGGGTACCATACAAAAAGGGAGGATTTGAAGTCACAGGATTGCCTGACGCCCTCAGTTTCAAGAGACCAAGTGCATATGGGCAAAAACAAATAAATGCTATAATGGAAAATGCTGAAAATATCACATTCATCCTATCCTCATTACCAGACAAGCGGTCGGAAATCACAACTGTTGAACGAATGCAGCTGTATACGAGTATTTTGAGTAAGATTATCAACGAAGATAAAGTGGCAGATTGTTTATCGCAAAATCATAAAATTCAAGAAGAGGATTTGGAAGTATACGACTTTGATTTAAATGAGGAAGAATTTAATATCATTACAACAGAACTTAGCCACTGTTTTGGTAATGATGCGATGACTGCATGTAAAAAAAACTATGAGGTAACCAGAGCTCATTGCGGTTACGTTCTGCCGGTGTATAACACGACTAAAGCTGAACCATACTGGCTCTTTTATCACCCTGGTAAAGCAGAAGAAATTGAAAATCTTCAGGCAGATGATAAAATTTTTGGTTACTGGCTTGACAAGGACAAGACGGAACAAGAACTGTGCTACAAATTACTTGTCGAACAGGACAAAACATTCATAGTAGCCTTGAACATGATCAGCAAAGATCAAGAAAATCTTGGAACACTGAGACTTCGAAAAGCTCTTGAACTCAATTATGGTGCCAAAATAACAATGCCACCTGATTTTGACATTACAATCAGAGAATGCTTAAAACATCAAGGGTTTTTGTAAATACAGTACGAAGGCTTTCATTACTCAGTTGGTTATGACTGCATTAACTCGTTCCAATTCCAGTTTTTGGGTCATTGGGTGTACATGCAATAGTTTTGCTTTGGTTTGTTAATAAAAGTACACTGATTTACAGATTCACGATGACTGTTCCATTGTTTTTTGTGCTAGACATTGACGCCACCCTACAGAGGGATTAGGGAAAATCTCAGATTGATCTGCAAGGCTTTTATGTGAACCCTAATTTTTGGATATTGAACTTCGTTCCGGCAATCACGCAGTCCTTGCAGGAAATTTTATCACCACTAAGACCAAAGCAGCCTAGATTTTCTGTAGGGTTAACTTCGGTTACAAGGGGTTTTAGGTTACAACAGTTTACTTGGTAACTGTTTTACTAGATAGGATATTCTATATGTATTATTTTTTCATATTCTATTAATTGGACAGTTTAGCCATACAAAACTAATTTAAAATAACAGTTCATTTTTATGTACTGTAACTAAAAATGGATTGACAACATGAACAGTGGTGTACATAGCTAGCATCAATAATTGGAGGGGGAGCAATATTCATATATTCTTGTGTTCTGCATTATCAAATTCTTCTCAAATGTATTGTCTTTACAGGCTGTTAACATGAATAAAAGAATATTCCTGCCTGTTTCCCACCCAATCCTTGATGCTAGGATATATTTACCCATACATGGAACTCAAATAACTTATTGCAGTATTACACAGCCAAAGCATGGCTAGAGCACCACTAAAACTTATAGTTGCTTAAGATGGTGTAAAATATGTTTTAACACATCTATGCTATTGCTACTACTTTGGTCTATTCCTCTTGCTATGTCCGCTACAGATTTAAATAAATTGTCACCTTTAGTATTGGCACTTATATTGTCAATTAATGAAGCTAGGTTTTGCACATCATTGCGGAAAAGAATTGTGTTTTCTTTTTTGATGTGCAATGCTTTGTCTAAACTAAAGAAAACTGGCTGCAAAAACTTGTTTTCCCTGGATTTTCTATGCAAAATGATATTATGTGATTGCAAATCTCCATGACAAAAAGCATTTGCATGCATATGCAACAGGCCTTCAGTGATACCATGAATGATAGAAATCCAGCGTTCCTTAGAAATGCTGTCTTTGCACTTGTCTTTTATAGCTGCATACAGTGAAAGCATAACACCAAACTTTGAAGAGCCATAAAACTTTGTCACAAGCAGGAATGGCTTGCAATCAAGACAAATTCCCAAAACAATAGGCAAAGAAGGATGAGAAGGCAATCTTAATATTGATTTCACCTCACTTTCAATGTTATGTTCACATTCTCTTACTGCAACAGGAAACCCTCTGAAACGCTTTAATTGTAAAGTTTCAACAATGCCATTGTTGAATTTACATATACCAGTGTCATGCACGTCAATCAGCTCCTGTCTTTTAACATGCAGAGATTTTGGTATATCATGGTTAACTTCTTCCAGTACCGGTACTTCCTTTTCTAAACAAAAAATTGAAGCTATGTAACCAGCAATGAACTTTAGAGTACTAATGTTACAGTCTTACAGATTCATCAACAGTATGACATCCAATATGACATCTATGTTTTCTGTATTAGCTACATAGTAGGAGCAACTTAATTAAAAATTTAAAATGCATGGTATATATGAGGCTAAGAGACCAAAACCATAAATAGAACAAGTGACCTCAATATGTAGCCTTATCAACAAACTTTCTAGCAGTAACTAAAACATGTTTTACATGAAGGTACAGTGTGTGAGATCACAGTTAATAGAATATACATGGGTTTACAGACTACATAAAAGTACAATAGAACTCATTAATTATGTCAGGGAACATTTATGCAAAAAATTGCTCCTTATTCGTCAAGTATCTATTGTATTTTCAACAAATAAACCAATAGTAAGGTCTGAATTAACATGTATGATGTACAGAAGGTTTTGCATCTTGTACTCACCAAATGATCCGTCGTCGAATGATCCGCCGCCGTTCAGGGATTTGGGGTCAGAGACACGACGAATTCCAGAATAATAGTAAACATGATTACTATGTTTTCTTCTTACGCTCGGGAAAAATCTTCGAACTATAAAACCACACTCTCTCTTAGAAATATTTGGGAATTTTTCTGTCAGGTCGTTCAATACATCAGAACATTTCACACGAGAATACAAATCAACCGCATAAAAGCGGGAAAGCCTGCAATATGCATAAAAGAAACATACGTTTTAATATATTTAAATATTTAATTATGCAAACGATATTAATATAGCAATATAGCTGCTATCTAGAATGTACAAAAGCTGTGAGCTTACCAGGTAGCTCGAGAATCCCTCCAATCTGATGGCAAAAACTTGAACTTTGATGATTTTGAGGTATTCGCCATTCTTCGCACCTTCTTATCAAGGCGCTTGTTTGCGCTTGTGTGCAGGCTGGGCCCTACCAACCAAGTGAACTCAAATTTCGTGACGTATGACCAAAGGGTGCTGGACAAACCTTAAACGGTGCTGTTGCAAACCAGCTCGATTAGGAGTTCGGGTTTAGATCTCGTATATATATAATAAAAATGAATAAAAAGAGGCTTCGCCATTGATTTTGATCTCAACAATAGGGAGTCTGTCAACGAAGTGTTATTTACATCATGGACTGAACCCCACCTTAGTAACCGAGCATATATAAAAATATACGTCGAGCAGATAGCTATATGTGTGTGTTTTTGATTTCTGACCTATACATCTTATATAATTACTATGATCAGCAATAAATCGTTGGTAGAAACTATGAAAACTGAAATCAAACAATTATGCCGTGGGTATTGGTTGCATTTGAATTCATCACAATTTATTAGACTTCATGCTCAAATTTGCAATTGGTGATCAGCAATAGATTTCTACATGCAAGCTCAACAAAAATGTCTTGCATCGACAATTTGAAGCTTGCAAGCGGTAAAAACAAATAGTCTCAATTAATAGCCTTCTGTATATACTTAATCTCAAAATGGCCATTTTACAGCTGCGTGATCAGATGTTTTTGATGAGCTTTGAAAAGATTGTACAGTACGTCGTATTCAGAAAGAAATTTGAACTTGTTTTAAGAGCGAAACAGAAATGCACAATACCATTCTGCCAGGTAAATACTTTTTCCTACCTGTTTGAATCAACCTTTCAATCCTTCGATTGTATCAGCGCTAGCTGCATTGGAATTTTACTCGACTTTTTATGCTTGGATGAGAGTAATGTGAAACTATTAAAACTAGTATATTTTATTCTATACAGCATCAGAGGGTGTCCCTTTGACGAGTAAATCGTCCCGCGTTAAAAAAGTGAAAATAATAAGTTACCATATGACAATTGCCCAATAGAGAGTAATTATCCACTGCCTTGGCCGAAAACGTTTGTTCAAAATTCTGCCATTTATTACTCCGGCGTCAGCGACGGAGTTGAAAATTCGCCCCGGTTTTGTTTTGTTTTTGTTTTTTTTTTTATTTTTTTTTTATTATTTTTCGTCGTCGCAAGTCTGTAATGGCGCGAAATATACTAGTATTTAAAACATGTATGTGACCGTATTTATCTACGTCCCAGTCTTATCTCCCAAGACTTGTGGTGCACAGCTTTGGCTAATTTTCCAATGCGCGATTCGATTTCGCTCGCATGATACGGCAATTCCTCCAAGAGGAACAAATAAACCGTTCTTTTCATGCTGTTCGATTAAGTTTAGATTGAATTGGGGTAAGAATATATTTAATACATGTAGACCCGGTCCTATTTTAATAATATCGCTGCTATTTTGCCGTTTAACAAGATGATGTGGTCGTGTATGGGCGCGTTGACACGTCGCGTAGTTTGCACAGGATCGAAGATTCAATACAACTATATAAGCGCGAATTCCAAAGGCAAAGTGTAAGACGAAGCGAATGTATCATGCGGTTTATTTACATTTTGAACAATTGAACTTCTATACTGCGATGTTCTTCTGAATTTCGCGATCGAACATTTAGGTTCGCAAGGCATCTAAATGCGAATATGTATGCGAAACAATACGCGAACTGTATTGTTTATGTTCAGAAGCTCTATATTGAAGACTGGCACGTGCGCCGGAGTTAACGCCAGAACGGCGTCTTGTTTATATTAGAAAGTACGGTTATTTACACAAGAGATGCCGATACTATAGATATGATTGTTTTCAATGCAGCAATCATTCCCTATCATTCCTCGTCTTCGTCTCTGTCATCTAGCAAGTCCACAAGATCCTCTATGGCATCTTTATCTATGCATTCCATTTCACTTTCCTCTTCAACACACGTTTCTAAGACATTTGACATATGAAAAGACGATGTACTGTCAACGCTATCAAGTTTTTCTGCAAGCCATGGTTTTATATAATCGGAAAGTGTCAAACGCAAAGACACCAACACGTTGTTTATCTCGCAAATCTCCTTTTTATATGATTGCAAATCCCATTCGATAGCCTGGATTCCTCAAGACAACGTCGTTCTAAAATTTCTGTGAAATTATCTCGCTTTTCAATGTAATACATAAACAGGTTTTCAACTTCCTCTAACAAAAGTTCCTGCTCCTCTTTGCATCTTTCGAGGAAATTTTGCAGGTCGATTGCGGATCTCTTGACGGAAAAAGGAACAGTCTCGACAGGCCGTTGGGTGGAGAAGTTGGAATAAAGTGACGACTCTGGGTCTTTTGCTATGTCAAATTTCAGCTCGTCAGGTAGTCCGTCAACGCAGTCTTGTAGAGCAGTCAAAGAAGCATTATATTTCGTTATAACGCTTTTGATTGCATTGGTTTTACGGGTGATCTGCTTGGACAGCTTTGACGCTATGGCTTGTCCATCTACACGACACCAAAAAAAATATATATTTCAGGCAGTTGTTTTATCACTTTCGTTGCGAAGTTGATATAAGGCTAACGCCGCGCCTATGTTACATTGAAAAATATCTATGCCGTGCATAGTTAAGTCATAAATACACGTTTGTAATTGGCCAATTTTGTCAGACACAACTAACTGTAGTTAAAATGACCTACGTTTTTACACAACCAGTCCCTAGTCTTCAGGATTTAAAATATTTCAGCTACTATAAACCACAGCATTAGGGTACCGAACAATTTTAACAAAATAATTTAATACCAGAATATTT